AACCCCAGGAGCAAGATGTTGGGAGCAGGAGCTGGAAGATTTTCCAGACAGTGGTCAATTTTCAAAAGCTGTTCCTGGAATTGTTGGGACGTTGCATCCGGAGGCTTGTATACAACCACAATGACCAGGTTATGGTTCTCGATCTATACTGCCAAAACATAAACAGCATCATTTGAGGTGTTTAGTAGTTCCAAGCATATCAGTGGCTCTGTGACGTACAGGCCAACCTCCCATCCCCCTTCGTGTTTTGCCTATTCACTCACATCTGTACAGGTTATAACCCGGGATCCACATTTCGTTGTCAAAGTGATCCTTTATGTGGGTCTCTGTGAAAACTGCAAATATTGCGTTTGACTCTGCAAGCAGTCCACAGATGAAAGATATTTTTTTTCCTGGCACTAATATCTGTTGTTTTTGAGTGGAGGCCACTGACTGTGGCTCTGCTCCAGAGCTGATTTATGATGGTGTACGATTTCTGTCATTTCCTGCCAGTTTTTTTTCCTTCCTGGCACTAAAGAATCTCTCTCTCTGGAGTGGCTGTGGCTACCCAGGTTTTTCCATGATCTGGATGTTCTGTATCTTCTTGTCCCCTTTAGGTGGTGTGCCTAACAATATAAGTTATAGCACTGTCTTTCATGAACTGAAGAGTGACACATTTCAGGGCGGAAAAACTTACAGAAAGAAAGGTTGCATTCTTCTGCTGTCATATGGACATGACATTTTCTGGGGTGATCAAGGTTGCACGTCCCACCTGTTTTTCCAGATATTCCATGCCTGCAGATACCTAGGGCATTGAATTTGCATAGGTCTAATTTCTGTTTGTCTTGGTTTTTCGTTGCTGCATTCCCTACTGGTGAGTTTTTTCTGACTCATAAGAACATAAGAACATAAGAAAGGAGGAACACTGCAGGAGGCCTGTTGGCCCATACTAGGCAGGTCCTTTACAATTCATCCCACTAACAAAACATTTGCCCAACCCAATTTTCAATGCCACCCAAGAAATAAGCTCTGATGTGAAAGTCCCACTCAAATCCAACCCCTCCCACTCATGTACTTATCCAACCTAAATTTGAAACTACCCAAAGTCCCAGCCTCATTAACCCAACTAGGTAGACTGTTCCACTCATCTACTACCCTATTTCCAAACCAATACTTTCCTATGTCCTTTCTAAATCTAAACTTATCTAATTTAAAATCCATTTACTGCGGGTTCTCTCTTGGAGAGACATCCTCAAGACCTTATTAATATCCCCTTTATTAATACCTATCTTCCACTTATACACTTCGATCAGGTCTCCCCTCATTCTTCGTCTAACAAGTGAATGTAATTTAAGAGTCTTCAATCTTTCTTCATAAGGAAGATTTCTAATGCTATGTATTAATTTTAGTCATCCTACCTGAATGTTTTCTAACGAATTTATGTCCATTCTGTGATATGGAGACCAGAACTGAGCTGCATAATCTAGGTGAGGCCTTACTAATGATGTATAAAGCTGCAGTATGACCTCTGGACTTCTGTTGCTTACACTTCTTGATATAAATCCCAGTAAGCTATTTGCCTTATTACGTACGCTTAGGCATTGCTGTCTTGGTTTAAGGTTGCTGCTCACCATAACCGCCAAGTCCTTTTTGCAATCTGTATGGCTAAGTTCTACATCATTTAACTTATAAGTACTAGGGTTATGGGCACTCCCAAAGATCAACTCCTTACTCTCAGACATGAGACCTGGTCTCAGACTGGGCCACGGGGGCGCTGACCCCCGAAACCATCTCCAGGTATACTCCAGGTATGTACAGCATCTGATATTTTATCTTCACTATTCCTCGGGGCATCATCTCCTTGTTTGCCATCATCTTCTTGTGTAGAATTGAAAGAAAAAAATCTAACAAAAAGTGGGAGCTGTCACAGTTGCTTTCTGCTGATGACTCTGTGCTTTTGGGAATTCTGAAGAGAAGTTGCAGAGGTTGATGGACTAGTTTGGAAGGGTATGTGAAAGAAGGAAACTAAAAGTGAACATAGGAAAGACTGGATATCAGATTGGAGGAGTAGCAAGTCTAAAGCATCAGGGGAATCTTGCCTTAATTGCCACCAGAGATGTTCATAAAGCTTTTGATAGCTTATGGCATGATGGCCTTATATACAAACTCATTGACCTACCAGACCATAACTGGACTTTTCTCAGAGTAATATATAATTTCTTAACTCAAAGAAAAATCATTCCCACCTTTCATGGCAGATCGGCAGAGCCTTTTATACCGACAGCTGGTGTCCCACAAGGTTCTTGTCTCAGTCCACTTCTGTTCAACATTTATGTGAATGACCTTCCTCAACCAGAGTTTAATGATACAATTGTGACACAGTTTGCAGATGATGTTATTCATGTCGTCTCATCAACTCCGGTAACAGGCAAATACAAGCATGAGAGAGTCATAGAAAAAATGAATATTGAACTTCGTCGAACATCCAATTGGGAAAAGAAATGGAGAATTACGACTAATCCTGACAAGGTCCTTGTTAGCACGATAGGATGTTTTGCATCAACAATTGAAGATAAAGGGGGTATCTCCATCAGAGGTACACCTGTAGCCATTAGAAACCCTAACAAGATCTTGGGATATGAAATAGACAGGCTACTCCACTCGACATCTCATGTAACTAAAAAGATCAACATAGCCAAAGCCGGTCTTAAAAGTCTCTTTCGATTCAATCAAGCCCCTCAACATGTCAAAAAACATCTGTATAAAATGATAATAAGACCAATACTCGAATACCCATGTGTCCCAATGTCATTAACAACAAAGACCAACATGGCTACGGCTAAAAAGGGGTCCAGAATAGAGCTCTTCGCTTCATTACCGATACCAGGAGGAGAGACAGAGTTAAAATGGCAGATTTACACATACAACAAGATATTACTGCCATAAATGTACGCCTCGACACTCTAAAAAAGAAACAACTCTATTCAATGTAAGACCTATACATGCCAGATAGAGAACATCCTATACAAGTGGTAAATACCACGGATTATATAATCAATACTCCTCCTCACAGGACTCAAAGAATGACTCTCCCACAGAGGGTCCGTCGTTTTATACATAAAGATGATTACCCTCGACCCATGATATTGAGCAACCTCCCTGATGAAGAAGATTGGGTAGCACCAGAACCCTTCTATGTATACTAAGAAAATCATCGCCCCCAATTAGGGAGACATCTTATATAACAACCTAATGTAAAAATTATGCTATTTACCATGGCTGGACACCACCTGTAAGAGGCCATTGTCATGTAATTCTATAGACTGGCCAGAAAATCATTGCCTTCATTGTTGCATAAATATCCGTTGTGCAATCGCAAAAAAAAAAAAAAAAAAAAAAAAAAAAAAAAAAAAAAAGCAATTGCAACTTGTATAATTACTACCAATTCAGAGTCATGTACTTATATATCTGTTATATCTATGTGACTCTGATGGGTTAGTATTATACCCCTTAATTAAATATATTATCATTTCACGTACACTTTTTAAATTGCACCAAAGTGGTTGGGCCACTTACCTTTTATATCTTACCTCTCTCCCCCCTCCCACCCTTTTCCAATATTTCCACCCTTACCCATCCTTCTTCCTTCCCCATCTTACCAAAGCTCTGGTCATAAGAAGAAGAAGAAGAAAGATTGGAGGAGTGAATGTACTCAGATATCTGGGAGTGGATTCGTCAACAGATGGGTCTATGAAAGACGAGGTGAAACATGGAATTGATGAGGGGGAAAAAGGGGTAAGTGGTGCACCGAGGAATTTGTGGGGACAGAGAATGTTTCCCATGGAAGCAAATAGAGGAATATATGAGTATAGTGGTACCAACATTCTTATATGGGTGTGAAGCATGAGTGGTGAATGTTGCAATAAGGAGAAGGCTGGAGGCAGCAGAGATGTCGTGTCTGAGGGCAATATGTGGTGTGAGTATTATGCAGATAATCTGTACCTTGGAGATTAGGAGGAGGTGCGGAGTTTCTAAAAGTATTATCCAAAGGGTTGAGGGAGGGTTGTTGAGGTGGTTCGGGCATTTAGGAAGGATGGAACGAAACAGAATGACCTGGAGAGTGTATAAATCTGTAGTGGAAGGAAGGCGGGGTAAGGGTCGTCCTAAGCATGGCTGGAGGGAGGGGGGTACAGGAGGTTTTGTGTGTGAAGACTTAGACTTCCAGCATGAGCGTGTTAATTAGGAGTGGAGACAAATGGTTTTCATGACTTGACGTGCTGTGAGAGTGTGAGCAAGGTAAGATTTATGAAAGGATTCATGGAAACCGGTTAGCCGGACTTGAGTCCTGGAGGTGGGAAGTACAGTGTCTGCACTTCAAAGGATGGTTAGAGATATCGTGTAGTTTTTGAACTGTAGTGTAGGTACGCCTCTTTCAAGACAGTTCTGGGGTGAATGATGATGAAAGTGTTTCTTCATTTCCGAGTCACTCTGCCTCGGTGGAAAACGGCCGATGTGTTAATAAAAAAATAATAGTAATCAGTATATACCCTGATAGATACAAAAGTCTCGGTGTACACTTCCTGTGAGTCACTGACTTTAATGAAGACTGGACATATTACATTAGGGCCCGGTGGCCTGGTGGCTAGGGCCCAGTGGCCTGGTGGCTAAAGCTCCCGCTTCACACACGGAGGGCCCGGGTTCGATTCCCGGCGGGTGGAAATTCCGACACGTTTCCTTACACCTATTGTCCTGTTCACCTAGCAGCAAATAGGTACCTGGGTGTTAGTCGACTGGTGTGGGTCGCATCCTGGGGGACAAGATTAAGGACCCCAATGGAAATAAGTTAGACAGTCCTCGATGACGCACTGACTTTCTTGGGCTATCCTGGGTGGCTAACCCTCCGGGGTTAAAAATCCGAACGAAATCTTATCTTATCTTATCTTACGTGTAATGAAAATAAAAGAATAACATTTAATTTTTAAGTTTTTTTGATGTTCTGCAATGCACTGTTACAATTTTATATTTAATCAGATGATAATTTTAACGTGTTTGCTTGTAGAAATTTATTCTTCCATTTGAATATTCGACTTTAAGAATCCTATGAATGCTGCTCAATGATGGTAAATCTTGACCTGTTGGCCATGCTGGTTGGGCACCTTGAAGACACTTAAGTCAGGGATGCGGCGGTCGAAGGGGAAGCCCATTGCTCGCTTGTCAGGATACTTCTCTCCATGAATACCACAGTAACCATGAGTACTACCGTGGTCGTTAACAGCTGAGTCATCATGGACAGCATCATCTCCGCTGGTAATAATGACGTCAATCCAGAATTCCAGGCCTTCTGAAGTACCCTTGGGCAGCAGTAGTCTCTGGGGGTGACCACAGGCGCGAGTATCCTTGTGGGGTAGCTCAGCGCCGTTGGCCACAGCCTCGTCAGCGTCGTGGATCAGTTGAGGGAAGGACACGCGATCAGGGATGGTTACTGATGACTCAGAGGACTTACGCTTGATTTCGTTATCTCCCGCATGTACTGCAATACATTAATAATGACATTATTCAATTATTAAAAATCTAAAACCCTATATTGTGTATTAATAGAAATAAATATATATTTTTTGCAAAATTTAATGGCTATTTACGAAATAAGCAGAAAATAAATTTGCGAGAAACGTCAAACAGAACTATGATTTTAGATATAAAAGTTATCTGGTAAATGAGTACTCACCTTCAGTCCAGAAGGTGTCAAGCAATATGGCTCCCCAACGAGCCTCGTCGATGTCAAGGGCGATATGGTTCTCGTCATACTTGGGTTGTAGGTAGACGCGAACTGTGACTTTGTCGTCGTGGTCAGCATGCGCGTGAATATTTACGGTGAATGGTTTGTGGTTCAGGCGTGATACGTGAGTTTTGACAGACACTTCATTGACGTTCTCTGTTGTGTCTAGAGCATTACTCAGGTCAAATTCAAAATCTTCAAAGTAAGTGGAAAGTTCACTGACCTCTACACCGGTTATCTCGACATTACTGTAGAGAAAATCTTCCCTGGTGTAAGGTGGCAAGGTGTCCTTGTGTTCTTTGAAAATTCCATCAATGTATTTATGGAGTCGGAAGAACGCAGGGTCGCGGGTTGCAGTCTCGAAGTGTTCCATAACACCTGGAGGCAAGTTAAACTTGTGCTTAGGGTCAGCTTGTGCACCCAAAACACGGTGAGCCTGATTATGTAGAGAGCCATAATAAGCAGCATTAGTGCTGTAAGCGGAAGATTCGATAATATCACCCAATACGTCAATTCCATGCTCGTTGTTGATGTCAGTGTGAGAGCCATCGGCGTTAACGATATAACTGTGAGCAATAGCGTCATGAATTCTACTTTCTATGATTTTTAAGTCACGAATGTGGGCCACACCTTCTACATCCTCAAATTCCTTGTTATCGGGGCGAGTGGGAAACTCTCCACCATATTTGTAGACAGTGTGAGGAGCAAATCCGTCTTTAATGGGGCGATCCCAGTAGAGTTCGTCTACTGGAGACAGATAGTTAGACAGGCGTTCGGCGTCGTATCTGGCAGTGAGCTGGTGGTGGGCCCAGAAGAAGAGCTCTCCCTTGCGGTCAATCTTATCATTATTCCACCAGAAGGGAAAGTCCAAGTGCCAGTGGACGTGGTGAGAGTTGATACCAACGTCCTCACCAAAGTAGGCCACTCGCTGCTCAGGGTTCTTCTTGCTGCCAGTAAATTCTAACTTAAAGTTACCTGGCGTCTGTGTCATCTTAGCAGCATAAGCTTTATTGATGATCTCTGAGTTTGTGAACAAATGAGGGGTAACCTCGTAGAGTGGTGGCAAGATCACGTGTTGTGTTAGGGGAGAATGGGTAACCGCCGCAAAGAGAGCATAAACAAACTCCCCTTCATTAACACGCTCACGGAAGTAAGCAGCGTTGTTCTTGAAGGTGTCAAAATCTTTTGAATGTAGCAAAACATCGACAAGCCATAGAGCTTCCTCACGCTGACGGGTGTTGAAGAGGGAGAACCAGTGATGCTGCTCCAGCAAGCGGTGATCTTCCAGCTCATCCAGTAGATGCTTTACGGCTGCGCCATCATCAGTGGTTTGATCAATGTGGTCTCTTGGGTCCCATGACTGTGCTGCCTCCTTGAGGTCAGTGAAAGTTGATTTGATGGGGCTGGTGACCTTGTAGAGTAGACGGTTAATGGTCTGCTGCTGGTGGGCTACGTCTGCGTCTGCAGACACAGAAGCCACCAGGAACACTGCTACAACCACTACCCACTGCATGTTGGCCAGTGATGTGACAGAGAGTCTCCTAGCTGCCTCTTATATACCAGGTTGAGTTCTCTTATCTTTCTCCCTCTGATACACCCCTACCCCTACTATTAATGCCAAATTATACTCGTTTAGGAAATCACGTTAAATGATTGTTAGTTTATTAACTAGTCATTTATAACATATGTTTTGATCATTTAATGAAATTATATAAATTATTTAGGATAGTGCTTACGTACTTAATACACCATTGCCAATTGCATACATTTTGTATTTGTGACAATTTTCAAGAGTTATACTAAACTCAGCCCGGTCCTTGACCAAGCTTCTTTGATGACCACCCGTTAAGTCTGCTTACTCGAGGTCCCCAGGCTTACATAACTATTACATCAGTGGCAGTACCAACGGGGCGGGCTGGGGGGCACCTTTCGCCCAAAGCCCCCTTAATTTTCCTCAGTCCCAAAAAGCAATTCTGTGATGAAAGTCATCAGTTTTTCAACTTATGATGTATAAATCTCCGCCTGTACCAGATGTTCATGTACGAACTTAAGAATGGAGGAGCACTTCAGAGGCCTACTGACTAATTGTTAGGTAAAAAAATTCATGTGGAACCAAAGATCACCACCCATCTAAATACCCATCAATTACACAACCCAAGGCAACACGGGTTTAGAGCAGGTCGCTCCTGTCTGTCCCAACTACTGGATCACTAGGACAAAGTCCTGGATTCTCTAGAAGACAAACAAAACGCAAATGTAGTATACACAGACTTTGTGAAAGCCTTTGACAAGTGTGACCATGGTGAAAAAGCGCACAAAATGCATGATAAAGGAATAACAGGAAAAGATGGTAGGCGGATTTATAATTTCCTAACAAATAGAACACAAAGAGTAGTAGTCAACAAAGTCTGAGGCAGCTACGGTGAAAAGCTCTGTTCCACAAGGCACAATTCTCGCTACCATCTTGTTCCTCATTCTCATATCTGACATAGACAGGGATATAAGCCACAGCACCGTGTCTTCCTTTGCAGATGACACCCGAATTTCCATGACAGTGTCCTCCACTGAAAACACTGCAAGGCTCCAGGCGGACATCAACCAAATCTTTAAATCTGCCGCAGAAAACAATGTGAAGTTCAATGATGAGAAATTTCAATTACTCCGACATGGAAAACGTGAGGAAATTAAAACTATATCGGAGTATAAAACAAATTCCAACCACACAATAGAGTGAGAAACTAATGTAAAAGATCTGGGAGTGATCATCTCAGAGGATCAATCGCATCTGCTAGAAAAATGACAGGATGGATAATGAGAACCTTCAAAACCAGGGATGCCAAGCCCATGACGACACTCTTCAGATCGTTTGTTATATCTAGGCTGGAATATTGCTGTACACTAACAGCACCTTTCAAGGCAGGTGAAATTGCTGACCTAGAAAATGTACAGAGAACCTTCACGGCACATAACTGCGGTAAAACACCTCAATTTCTGGGAACACTTGAAGTTCCTGAACCTGTACTCCCTAGAACACAGGCGGGATAGATACATGATTACATTCACTTTGAAAATCCTAGAGGGATTAGTACCAAACTTGCACACGAAAATCACTCCCTATGACAGCGAAAGTCTCGGCAGACGATGCAACATTCTCCCAATGAAAAGCAGGGGCGCCACTAGCACGATAAAAGACAACACAATAAGTGTCAAGGGCCCTAGACTGTTCAACTGCCTCCCAGCATACATAAGGGGGATTACCAATAGACCCCTGACTGACTTCAAGTATGCGCTGGACAGGCATCTAAAGTTAGTACATGACCAGCTGGGTTGTAGTTAATATGTCGGGTTCTATGCGGCCAACAGTAACAGCCTGGTTGATCAGGCCCTGATCCACCATGAGGCTTGGTCACAGACCATGCCACTGGGGCGTTAACCCCCGAAATCCTCTCCAGGTAAACTCCAGATAATGAGACATTTTATTTCGGCAACGTTTCGCTCTTCAGGAGCTTTATTAAGCTTGATAAATCTCGTGGAGAGGGAAACGTTGTCACAGGAAAATATCTTATTAGTTGAACATGTGTTGTTTTACGTAACATATTGACGGTAATTCCACCAACACCTGATATTAACTTACTCTCCCAATACCTGTTACTGTGATTGGTCGGTATTGTATACCTTTATTGGTCGGTATTGTATGCATTTATTGGTCGGCATTGTATACTTTTATTGGTCAGTATTGTACTCCTTTATTGGATGGTATTGTATACCATTGTGTGTGTAATTCCTCATCACTAATCTCACTCATTGGGCTGGCTACTTATATGGAACTTAGAGTCCATTTTTTTTCTCTTAGGACCTCTGTACAGCTCCTGGAAATACCCATGTCTTGATAAGTAAGACACACATGCAACAGTCAGGCATCTATATTCGAAAAGGTTTCGCCTACACAGTAGGATTCTTCAGTCAAGTACATAAAAGTTAGCCGAAGCAGTAGAGATGCGATGACGATGTAATCAGTCTTGTTTTATCTGACTTGATAAAGTCCCTTGTGGACGAATCGTCTTTACATTATTTACATACTAACGGTATAGTTTGCCATCATATTACCCTACTGGGTATCAGATGCAAGATGGTCCTGTCAACACGTTGCTTTTTCTGCTGTCAAATTGACATTGCCAGCAATTACTGTAGCCCTAATAGATACCATGAAAAATTTCAATACACGTAGGGTGATAGAAGCAAGGGTCCTCATACATTTTCAATGATAAATCCGCCATAGTCACTCTTACAGTGATGAAGACTTGACTGTAAAGAAGTGGCTTATATACTGCAAACAGGTGAGGTGCAGCAGTCGTAGGTGGTATCACACTTGACAAATCCAAATGTGGAGGTAGGTCATGCCTAAAGTTTAGGCATGTGAAGAATTCCCTGTGTTAAGATCGCTTGACTGCAAGTCACCTTCAGTCCCCTCACCTCCATCCGGCTTCTGATGGGGATCTTGTTAAGTCAGTCCTATCTGATTTTTTTTGAAAAATACTGAAAATTCCTGGCAGAGGTATCAGGCAAGATGCAGTTCATTTGTATGAAGCAGCTGGCATTGATGTAAAGCAAGGAAAAGTGCGAAAAGGCAAGGAGACTGGCGTTTATATAGGCGCCAGTGGATAGGGACGGCTGCTACAACTAACCCATCCCTTTGGGTAGGACCTACTTCCACTGGGGAATCCCGCCTACCAGTGACTAGGCCCTCGTCTGCTACACGTCCCTATCCACTGACGCCTATATAAACGCCAGTCTCCTTGCCTTTGCTCATTCGACACAGCTCCATCGACCAACGATCTCGCCTCTCTAATTACCCCGTGTTGAGAGTGACTTTCCTCAGAGTGGTGGTTACTGGACCTTCGTCTTCACCTTCAGGATTGGTGCGTCGGTGGCTGCCTACCCAAAGGCAGGAAGCCTCCCTCTGCACTCCTGTTGCTGTCTGAAGTCTCCACGCCTCAGACTGTACGTGTAGTCTGCACGCCATACAGCCAGTGTTGCCTCTCCTCGCCGTTGTCTTAAGTCTCCACGCCTCAGCCTGTATGTGAAGTCTGCACGCCATACAGCTAGTGTTGGTTCTCCTCACCGTTCACAGCCAGTGTTGCCTCTCTTCACCAAGTGGTGGTTACTGGACCTTTGTCTTCACCATCAGGATTGGTGCATCGGTGGCTGCCAACCCAAGGGCAGGAAGCCTCCCTCTGCACTCCTGTTGCTGTCTGAAGTCTCCACGCCTCAGCCTGTACGGGTGGTCTGCACGCCATACAGCCAGTGTTGCCTCTCCTCGCCGTTCAGGGCATACAGTGCTCCATCAAGCTAAAGCTCACCTCCTCAGTGTCCTGTGCCTCCAGCGACGGACTCCACAAGAAAACTTTAAAGTTATAGCGAGGCAAGTACGTGTGTCTACTTCACACGTATTTCCCTAGCAGAGTATTCTCACAGATTTGGCCGCCACATCTGATTTACGACGCCTTCAATGCTTTCCACTTCCTTCCCCCTTACCACTCCTCCTCTACCACCAACACCTGCCTCTACTCTGTCTACTCCTGTCTCTAAGGCCTACCCTGCCTCTACCTCTTCCAACCCCAATTCTTTCTCGCTTAACTTCAAATACTTTAATTCTGATCATGCCACTATCTGTCCTGGAAATTTATTTTACCAGATCACTGGTGCACCTCAGCTGAAAGTCTTTAAAACCAACTCAGGCTTCAAACTCCTTCTTGACAGACATTCTTACGAAACGTACACCTCAATCGAGACCAGACAAAAACTTCTCAACGCAGGCTTCACTATTATTTGGACTCCTGAGCACCACACCAAATGCACAGTGATCGCAAAACATGTAGACTATTCTCTCCTGACTGCCTGTGACACAGACAAAGAATACTTAATCAAAGAACAAAGTCTCTGTTGACGATATTTACAGACCTGAAAACTCTACCATCCTCAAAATACGCTGACGTCTCTACACTCTTCAATCAAGGAATCCTTGCCAAGACCATCCACATTCCTCCAAACACTCTCTTCACTCCGAATTTTCACCCCATCACACAATGTCTGAAATGCTACAAATTTGGCCACGACAAAAACTCATGCACATTCACACAAATCTGCTCCAGATGTTCAGCAACTGGCCACTTCTGGAATACTTGCAACCTCCCCCTTAAATGTTCTAATTGCGGTGGGTCACACACTGCAGTTGCAAATTCCTGCCCTTCTAGAAAGTACATTCTCTCCTCCCTCAGAGCAAGCCAACCTCCCTCCCTCCCCAACCCCTTCCCTGCACCTTCCTCCCCTTCCATACCTCCCTCCCCTACCCCCTGTGAAAATTTGTCTGGACTGCCTCCAAGTGAGTCGCCTACCCTGGCAAGCTCTGTTGACACCGAGCTCTGAGGTCGGTACCTCAGCCTCACAAGTGGCTTATAGGACAGATTTTCATAAATGACGGATGTTGCAAGAAATCTGGCCTGCCTGCATGTTT